ACAAATTAAAAATAGACATTATGGCCCAGATACCAAAATGTGTTTAGGCACCTAAATCCCATTGAAATCAATAGGTGTTAAGTGCCTAAATACCTTAGAGGATCAGGACCCAAGTGTCTGATCATGTCCCACTGAAGTCAATGTTAGTTTTACCATTGATTTCAATAGGCACTTTACCATTCACCTCTTATTGAACTTGAGCCTATAACGTCATCAGTCCAAGTAGGTGTTTGTGTCTGGTATCTACCAAATATTCATACCTGACCTGCTTATCTGTTAAAGAGGTATGTTTTGTTTTGTTCTCAAAAATATCCTTCCTGAAATACAATGAAAAGGTCACTGCATCAGGCAATATCCTGTTCTTGCAGCTACCACCTTTAGGACCCTATTTCTGAGTATATTAACTACAGCAAAGTTCAAAGGTGAATCAGGTAGGCAAAAATCCAAACATCCTTACATGAGAATCTGCTCAGAGTTCTCTTCAGTAGTTGTTCCTCTGTGGTGGTAACCTCATTCTATTTTTCAGTAATTGCTGAATATGATCTCTATATGACAATCATCCATGATGTCTGTGCTATTTCCATAAAACAGGATTATCTTGTCACAAATTATGTAGCTAAAATCTTACAGGATAGGATCCGTGTCCTCCAAGTCCTCACTATCCAAACATCTTTCAAATGAAATGCCAGTGTAATGTTTGCTGTTTACTTGCATTGTAGTAGCACCTACAAGTCCTAGCCATAGACCCCACTGTGCTAGACAATATAAGCCTTTTGGGGAAGGGATCATCTTTTTGTTATGTGCTTTTACCATCTAAGTATAGGACAACACTCACCAGCTGAATACAGATAGATGGGGAGCAGAAGTTAAAAATGAGACTATGCTGATCAGCACAAGGCATTGGTCACAGCACACCAATTGCCCAACCATTCTCAAGTCCCCAGCCTAGCTTCCTGTTCTGTTAATTCCCTGCCTATCCAATTCCAGAAACCTGCATTCTGGTTTATATAAACAGACATTATATTGCCCAAATTTTGAGTAAGCAGAAACCTACTCAAGGTTTTGTGTTTTTTTTTTTTTTTAAATCATGGCTCATAAATGACTTTTTTTTTCTCTCAATTTCCAATGATACTTTATCAGTACATGTCTCCTCTTTGCTTTATTGTATTCTGGGTTTATTATTACATTATAAGACACTAGATAGTTGTAGCAAGTATAAGCACAATTTTACAGTGAGCCTAAACTATTGAAACTGAGTACTGTTCAACTAAATTTAGATAATAAAATATCAATGTTTATTTTTACTCTTGTCTGTTATACAATTAGTGTCTTTTAGGGTTGCAAGTTTCTTCTCGAATCTTTACTGGGAGATTAAGGGGATGCACCCAAAGCAATTTTTTGGTTGGATGTGGGTGCATGGCAGGTCCCTGCTGCAGGTGACTCTGAGGCTCCACCTACCTTATAGTTGGGGCCCTACCAAATTCACAGCCATGAAAAACATGTCACAGGCTGTGAAATCTGGTATCCCCCCATCAAACAGTGCTTTTATCCTATACTATACAGATTTCACTGGGTACTAGCACTTCTCAAATTGGGGGTCCTGACCTATAAGGGAGTTGTTGGGGGTGGGGGGCTCAAAGGTTATTTTAGGGGGATCATGGTATTGCCATCCTTGCTTCTGTGCTGACTTCAGAGCTGGGTGGCTGGTGAGCAGTGACTGTTGGCTGGGCATCCAGCTCTGAAGGCAGCAGCGCAGAAGTAAGGGTAGCAGTACCACAAACAATAACTTTGCAACCCCTCCCCCCACACACACAACTCCTTGTTGGGTCAGGACCCCTACAATTACCACACCATGAAATTTCAGATTTAAATAGCTGAAATCATGAAATGTAAGATTGATTGATTATTTTTTAATCCTATGATTGTGAAATTGACCAAAATGGACCATGAATTTGGTAGGACCCTAATTATAATGCTTAATCATGGCAGCTCATGACTGTCTGGCATGGTTGGGACATGGATGTCCCTATCACTTTTGTTATGTGGATGGAACAACAAGATTACATAACTTTGTTAAAGAATCAGATTACAAACCAGGTCTAGACTGTAATCCGTGGAGGCCCCTTGGATGCTTGAGTAGCCTTCCTTAACCTGTTATAAATCAAAGTATGAGCTGTACCTTCTGCTGTACATTGACTCAAAGTACACCTTTACTTGTCTCCCTGCTTTCAGATATCACCACCCTCCACTGCTCCAAGAGTGCAGCATTGTTTTCTCTTCCCCACTCAGACCCATTCAGAATGCTGCTGCAAAGATCTTTTTTCCTAACCAGTAGCTTTGACCGTGTCTCCCCTCTTTTTGCATCCCTCCATTGGCTCCCTTTTCTCAATCCCATCAAAAATAAGGTACTTGTCTTCATCTACAAGGCCCTTTGTGGCCCATTCCCTACCTAACTGCCATCTCTCATTTACTAGGGAAATGTCTGTTTCCCACCTCCAATCAGCCCACAATGCTAGCCTCCAATGCCCCCTTGTGCTTCTGGTCATACTGCCCCTCATGCTTGGGAGAAGCTCCCCATAAACATTCACAAAACTAACTCATTATGCTCCTTTAAATCCCTCTTAAAAAAATCTTTTTCACTAAAGACTACAAAAAACTAGACAACGGTTAGGCTCAGACCACTGCCTATCATGCTGACCAGCATTGCCGGTTTCCTTGTACTCTCCCATCTGTCTGTCTGTCTATTTGTTGTCTCGTTTCTTACTTAGATTGTAAGCTCGTTAGGGAAGGGACCATCTTTTTGTTCTGTGTTTGTACAGCTCCCGATCCATCACTAGGGCTCCTAAGGACTATGGTAATACAAATAATTAATAATAATAAATCCAGAAACTACAGAAGGCCCACATTGCATGCGAGCTGAGATCAGAAGGACCACATGGGTTAACTGTGAAGCCATATAGCAGGTCTCCATAGTGTTCCATTCCACTGGAGTGTGGACGAGTGAGGCACGATAGTGGAGGTTGGAGCACAATGAATGGGTCTGCAGATCTCACAATTTTACTGACCCACAAATACACATAGTAGAGGAGCAGGAGTGTACAGCTGTGATTCTTGCCCAGTCCCTCTATTATATACTGATTTGGCAAAACCAGAGCCAGATTTTCAGTTAGACCTGTGCAACTGCACAGATGCATTTGCGTGCTCTTCATTATTTGGGCAAATAGGCAAAGTACACTTTTGGATCATGTATTTGTGCATACACATTCCCAGTTAAATGCCTAACGTGAGTGTGCATGGGCAAGACCAGCCGTTTGTTTGCCTGATTTGTTGGGCAAAAGTGTGTGCATGCAAAGTGTGCATACATTGTGTGTTTCTAACTTTGAAAACGAAAATGTGTTTCTAACTTCGAAAATGTGCCCTAATTTCTGTTTACATGTAAGATTGTGCTCTTTACCTTCCGATTCTATTCTTAGAAAATATTCGGGTCCATGATTTTGTCAGTATTGATATGCTCCAGTTAAATATGGATAATACCTATTTCAAAGGAGCATTATGAGGATTAATTTGTTGTACTCTTAATGTTTTCTTGTGACATCAGGTTGCTTCAGCAATTATTCAGCACCTTTAAACTTCTCTACGTAAACAGTTCTTGTGGCATCAAAATGGGTTAAATTAGAAGCAACTCATGTTATGGACAATTAATTCTCTTTTGAGAACAGTGCTCATTGTAGTTATTTAGGGCCACTGACTTCAATGAGAAGTGAGGACTTTCAGCATCTCAGAAGAAGCCCAGCACCTTACAGGAAACTTTGCAGGATCAGTTTTATAAAGTTATCCAAAGTACATGTTTTCTAATCACTTCACCTCCCAAGAAAATGAAGTTAAGTCTCTGGTGGAATGATATGCCTTTACAATCTATATAAAATCACTGTTAATATTTAAAATTTATTTTAAGATATCTATATATCAACATTTCAGGAATCCAGCTTAAAAATAACCAACAAAAAAACCTCACATTGGCCATTCAATTGTTTGTTGGGGGTGGTGTTTTTTCATTTATTCCTTCTAAAGATTTATTTTTAAAAAAATATTTAAGTTAAATCCAACATTTTAATGCATATTTTCTGTTTTGAAAATGTTTCACCATAAATGTCACTGCTTTTAGAAACTGGATTTCTTATCAGGAATATGCTCCCTTAAGTGTCTTGTAATTCCTTTGATCTTTGACTACTGCAATATAATTGTTTACCTGATCACACAATACATCCTTGTATATTTGTACCCTTGCTTTCTGTCCATGGGAGTCAACAATATTTGTATTCATATTTCAGATTCTAAAGGGAGTAGTTTTAAGAAAAATTGGCTCAGCAATGTGATCTCTCCATGGCTATATTTAAAAGGGGGGGGGGAACTGAAGCAAGCTTATTTAATCCATTCAGTTAGAAGGGTGCTAGCCAAGTACACTATTACGGTGATTACAGACCTCTGATATAAAACAATAGCTATCACATTTTAAAAAAATCCTTAAACTATTTATTGTAATGAGTTTTCAATAAGCTAATAATATAGTATTGTATATATAATAAAACAATTTAAGTCTATCATTTGTATTTTTCCTCCTTTATAAATTAATGCCCTTCACAACTACAGGATATGACATGGAAAATGGTTGTGGTTTTTCACCTCTATTTCACGAAACTAGAAGCAAGTGAGATGACAGCTGCAAAAGTTGCTCTCCTGTTTTCTATTAGGAACAACCCAGCATGCGGAAAATAACCTACCAGTTACCATTATACTTGCAAAGTTAGTACCACTTAGGGGAATCTATCCCAGGTTGCATTCAACCATCACCCCAGGAGAGAGTGGGTGGCTGGTGGTGGCAACTGGGCACTGGGTGCATTTGGTAGGAAGGGTGTGTGTAGGCAGAGTGGAGGTGTGGGTGGGTGGCAAGGGATGTTTGGTGGTGTGTGTGTCTCAGAGCCAAATGTGTCCTCTCTTACCTTAGATGCAAGTAATGCACCAGCTTGGTTACCACAGTAACCATCTTGCTGGAGTCCAATGTCTCAGCCTGTGGCACGGGAATCCCAGAACCAAGAGAAGGTCAAAGCTGCCAATGGACTCCTCCTCCTCCTCCTCCCCAGGCGGCTCGCTCCTGGCTGCTGCCTTCCTCCTTTGTCTCCCTCAGGACCAGGCACTACGGGGGCGGCGGCGGCGGCTTTGCCTCTGGCGCTTTCACCCGCCCTGCAGGCTTAGCGCCGCCGAGCCCGTGCCTGCTGCTCATCCCTGCCGCGCGGACAGGACCCGCAGGGCGGAGGAGGAGCGGGGCTCGCAGAGCTGCGGGCACCAGGCGGGCGTGTGGCAGGAGCTGCGGCTAGGCCCCCTCCCCCGCGGAGCTGCACCTCGACCTACAGCACCGCCTCTCCGCCGCGGGGGCAGCCTTTGGACCCCAATGAGCACCCGAGTCTCCCGCCATTTCCTCCGCAGACACCCTGTGGGGTGGCGCTGGGCTTTGGCTGACTCAGTCAGCTCAGATCCCGTTAGGGATCGAAACGCTTTGATTGCGCATTCATTTAAAATGTGTCGAACACAATATTAATGCACGGCACCTTACACGAGCAAAGCTTACGCTGGCATGACTGAAATCCCCACAAGTCCATTTCGGATTGTTTTTGGAGACACCCTCCATCCCTTTTCTCCTCTCCTCTGAGTGTCTTTCTGTTTTCATGCCTCAAATTAAAAGCCAGGCACCTGTACCAGGAAAAAGGGGAAGATAAGATTTGCAGAGTCAGGCAATAAGCCTAGGAGAGACTGGAGTGATTTCTAACCAAACATCCCAGTTTAAGCCCCTGAAAGCTGGGTGTATTTGTTGCCTACTTCACTTCATATTTTGCACCATAGGGTGCCTCATGGGATAGGTGTTTATCTATAACAGCTTTTGCAGTAGCTAAAACTATACATTAGGTCAAGATTTTCATTCTCCACCTGTTGTGGCATGCTCACAACTTGCAGTAGAAATGTAAGGTGTCTTTCCCAGACCTGAAGAAGAGCTCTATGTAAGTGCCAAAGCTTGTCTGTCTCTCTAACAGAAGTTGGTCCAATAAAAGATATTACCGCTCCTACCCTATCCCTCCCTCCCCTCTCTCTATAGATATAGATATTACAGGCATAATATCTAGGTTAAAATATCTGAAATTATATATAAGCGGGGAATATCAAGTAGAAGTAGGAAAGTATTGTTACTACTGTATATGGAATTAGTGAAACTGTTCCTGGAATACTGTGTCCAGTTTCCGTGCCCACACTTTTAAAAGGATTTGGAAAAACTGAAAAGGGTTCCGCAAAGAGCTTCACGAATGATTCAAGTACTAGAAAACCTGTCCTACAGTGAGAGACTAAAGAAGTTCAATCTATTCAGTTCAACAAAGAGAAGGTTAAGAGGTGACTTGATCATGATCTGTAGGTACCTTTGGAAGGAGATTTGTGATAGTAGCAATCTCTCTTTAATTTAGCGGATAAAGGCATAACAAGAACCAAAGGCAGCAGAAGCTGGACAAACTCAACTAGAAATAAAGTGTGTTTTGTTTTGTTTTTTATTTTTTGTTTTTTTTACAATGAGGCTATTTAACCATTGGAATAATTGACATAAATATGTGGTGGATTTTCTATCACTTAGTCTTTCAGTCAAGACTTGGGCATCTTTATAAAAGACATACTCTAGCTCAATCAGACATCATGAGCTTGATGCAAGAATTACATGGTGAATTTCTATGCCCTAAAGTATTGTAATGGTCGCTTCTGGTCATAAAATCTATGAACATCAATTTAAAGCACTCAAAAGTTAGGAAATGTCAGATTTATAGTAGTTCATGGATCTTAATTCTAACTCCTTATGCATCCTGTGTACTGAATGAGGCAGGCCAAATAGAAAAAATAGTATGTAATGTAATTAAAGAGTGCATCATAGTCTATACACACAAAGAAAATTTAAGGTTGCATGGGCATCCATCTGGCATTTTCTAACTTTAGATTGCTTGACTTTACAAAAGAAATAGTATTTTTCATTCACCTAATACAAGTACTGTAGTTCAGTCTCTTTATCATGAAAGTTGAACTATCAAAAGTAGAATTATATACCAAAAAAAAACCGCATGTTTTATTTTTGAAATGTAAAATGTTAGAGCCTACAAGTCCACTCAATCCTACTTCTTGTCCACTCACACAAACAAGTTTGTTCACATTTGCAGGAGATAATACTACCTGCTTCTTGTTTACAACATCTCCTGAAAGTGAGAATAGGCGTTTGCATGGCACTGTTTTAGCCAGCATCGCAAGATATTTACATGCCAGATGCGCTAAGGATTCACAAGTCCCTTCGTGTTTCAACCACCATCCCAGGGGACATGCTTCTATGCTGATGACGGGTTCTGCTTGATAACAATCCAAAGCAGTGTGGATCAGCGCATGTTCATGTTCATCATCTAAGTCAGATGTCACGAGCTGAAGGCTGATTTTCTTTTTTGGTGGTTTGGGTTGTGTAGTTTCCGCATCAGACTGTTGCTCTTTTAAGATTTCAGAAAGCATGTTCCATACCTTGCTCTCAAATTTTGGAAGACACTTCAGATTCTTAAACCTTGGTTCAAGTGCTGTCGCTATCTTTAGAAATCTCACATTGGGACCTTCTTTCAGTTTTGTCAAATCTGCAGTGAAAGTGTTCTTAAAAAGAACATGTGCTGAGTCATCATATGAGACTGCTATAACATGACATATATGGCAGCATGCGGGTAAAACACAGAGCAGGAGAAATACAATTCTCCCCCAAGAAGTTCAGTCACAAATTTAAGTAACTCATTATTTTTTTAGCAAGCATCATCAGCATGGAAGCATGTCCTCTGGAATGGTGGCCAAAGCAAAAAGGGGCATACAAATGTTTAGCATATCTGCAGAGGTGAATGTAAGCCAGTACACAGCCAACTGTATTGGCAGGGAGTAGCTTCCCCAGGCCAGCAATTTTAAATTGGGCTACCAGCAACAGCTGGAGCCCCGGGCCCTTTAAATCACCGCCAGGCTCTGGCTGTGATTTTAAGGGCACGGGGCTCCTGGACATCACTACCGCAGCCAGAGCCGTGGGCCCTGCCCCTTCTGCCCAAGGGTCCCCCCACTTGCTCAGGATCCTGGCCCTGCGTACTGGTAAGCCCCTTATATTACTTTCACTCCGCCTATGCGGCACATAAACACCTTGCAATGCCTCCTACAAAAGTGCCATGTGAATGCCTGTTTTCACTTTCAGTTGACATTGTAAATAAGAAGCTAGCAGCATTATCTCCTGAAAATGTAAACAAACTTATTTGTCTTAGTGATTGGCTGAACAAGAAGTAGGACTGAGTGGACTTGTAGGCTCTAAAGTTTTACATCGTTTTGTTTTTGAGTGCAGTTATATTACAAAAAAATCTACATTTGTAAGTTGCACTTTCACAATAAATTTCAGAGTAACAGCTGTGTTAGTCTGTATTTGCAAAAAGAAAAGGAGTACTTGTGGCACCTTAGAGACTAACCAATTTATTTGAGCATGAGCTTTCGTGAGCTACAGCTCACATCAATGAAGTGAGCTGTAGCTCACGAAAGCTCATGCTCAAATAAATTGGTTAGTCTCTAAGGTGCCACAAATACTCCTTTTCTTTTCACAATAAAGAGATTGCATTAGAGTACTTGTATGAGGTGAACTGAGATACTATTTTGTTTCATTTTTACAGTGCACGTATTTGCAATAAATAAAAATAAAGTAAGCACTGTACACTTTGTATTCTGTGTTGGAATTAAAATCAATATATTTGAAAATGTAGAAAAAGATTCAAAAATATATCCTACATTTCAATTGGCATTCTATTGTTTAGCAGTGTGATTAATAGCAATTAATTTTTTTTTGTTAATCCTGTGAGTTAACTGTGATTAATTGACAGCCCTATATATTATGTGTAACTGTAACAACCAGCCAAGTAGAGGGGTCACTTCCAACTCCTCTGATAATTAGAACATAAAGTAGGGTGACCAGATAGGAAATATGAAAAATCGGGACAGAGTGTGGGGAGTAATAGGCAACTATATAAGAAAAATCCCCAAATATCAGGACTGTCCCTATAAAATTGGAACATCTGGTCACCCTAACATACAGAGATAGATATGTAGCAAAGGTTCACAAACATTTTCTAGTGTTGATCACTCTTTAACAAAAGAGAGTTTTTTTTCTCATGCACACGTCCCCTTCTGATTCATGATTCCATAGCTTACGTCCTTCCATACTACATGGACCACCTCTTCTCCCATCCATAATAGCTTATTATTTCTGTGTGAACTACAGTAATTGCTAATGTACACAAGTAATATTAGGGAAGAATTTTATGCTTTTTTTTTATTCTTGTAATGAAATTCAGTTTCTAGAAACAAAGAGCCAGAACCATAACATCATCCAAGTCTTTATCAGCAAGAAGGCCACGAACCATTATTTGAAAACACTTAAATGTGTAATCTCATGCAGGTAAACTTTTAATATTATTTGGAACAGTGTAGCTAAAAGCAGGTACAGTTGTCATTTCTTTTTTAGAAGTGGTTTAGATTCTGTACACTGTGTTGTAGTTTTGCTGGGGTAACCCATTGGAACTATCCAAAAAACCACGGGAATTTCAGCTTATAGTTTGTGGTCTGTTATATACAGCAATAACCATCTCTTGCTGCCCACATATCTTTGGCAATACTAAAATACTTGTATAAATAACATCAGAATTGGGCTTTGTTTCTGGATCAGTAGATTAATAATACATATAACTAAAATTGTAGCTTTTTATTATAACTTATTTGCAATGGTTTGTATGCATCCGATGAAGTGAGCTGTAGCTCACAAAAGCTTATGCTCAAATAAATTGGTTAGTCTCTAAGGTGCCAAAAGTACTCCTTTTCTTTTTGCAAATACAGACTAACACGGCTGTTACTCTGAAACCAATGGTTTGTAGTGTTTCTATGTGATGGTCCTCCTATCTTCCGACATTCAGCCTTCTTGTTTTAACTGATAAGGTCTTTCTAACTCTGCCCGTACCTCCTGTATTTCTCGGCTCTTGTCTCTAACTGGTCCCACCTATGTGCCCCTCATTCTGCCTACTCTGCTGATATTGATGCTCTTTGCTGTCTTCATCCATTTACATTTCTTCTCCTGCTTTTGTTCTCCCTCTTCAGACTAGCACTGCCTGCTTCTTTTCTTGTGCTTAATGAGCTCACTCTGCTCCTTCAAATTCTCCCTCAAAACTCACTATTTTTGCTAGCATCCAACAACTAATCTCCATGGGATTACTATTTGTAGCTACTTTTGCCCATAATAAAAGTATAACACAAAAACGTTAATATTTTAAAAAATAGAACAAGAATTATCCATAACCTAACAAATCACATGATCATAACAAAAAGTTGCTGTGCACAAAATACAGGGGTATATAGGAGTGGCCATACTGGATTAGACAGCTGGTACA